GGCCATCAAAGTAAAATATTTCCATGTTATGTACATGGAAATAAAAATAGCCTTATTATTTCCGTTTATCTAAAAATATGGCTTCTATTTTTTTCTACTTTTGACTTTTAGCTAAAAATACTGTGCATAATGAGTCTGAATAATTAGTCCTAAGAATTGATCATTCATCTTATGTTTATTTTTAAATTGATTTTTTGGAATAAATATAATTTCTTATAGAAAGGAAGTAAGCTTGATGGCAGCATATATGAAATCTAGTATGCAGTTGTAACTAAAATGATCCACAAAATTAAAAGAAAACTTTATTCTGAAGAGAATACAAAAGATTAGTTGAATATAAGTATAAAATCTTCTAAGAACTAGAAATTCCTTTTAAGTTGTTTGCATGATTGTTTTGGGACAATGTGCTATGAATTCATTTTTAGTCACAGCACAATGCAGCACAACCCTCAACCTCATCAGAATAGCATAAAACAGCATAAATATGAGGAGAATGGACACAAGACTTGGATCTGCCTTTGTGCTCACCTCCTATGCCCCGGCAATATGGCTGCCTTTACCATTTTTGCCCTCTGATGAGGTGGAGGATGGTGCTGCGCTGTGCTGTGCTGAGTGATTGAAAATTTTCCTTCTTTCTGCCTCACATACTTGGTTTTAAAAACATGTAAAGATTCATCTAGGTCAGGTGCTGGTGGCTCATGGCTGTAATTCTAACTACTCAGGAAGCTGAAATCTGAAGATCACAATCCAAAGCCAGCCTAGGCAGAAAACTCTGTGAGACTTAATCTCCAATAAATTACTCAGAAAAGGCCAAAGTGGTGCTGTGGTTCAAGTGGTAGAGCTCTAGCCTTGAGCAAAAGAAGCTCAGAGATGGCGCCTAGGCCCTAAGTTCTAGCCCCATAACCAGCTCCTTCCCCCCCAAAAAAAGATACAACTAATAAACGTATGAACTATAAACATTAAGTTTGCTCACCAGTCATATATTCCTTTCCAGGAATTTACTTAAGGAGAAATACAGAAATTAAAAACTAACAGATGCCAATGGCTATAATCCCAGCTGAGATCTGGGTATCATGGTTCAAAACCAGCCTAGGCAGGAAAGATTGTTAACCACCAAAAAAAAAAAAAAACTTAAGTTGAGCTGTGGCTCAAGTGATATTGTTAGCCTTGAGAGGAAAAAAGCTGAAGGACAGTACACAGACCCTGAGTGTAAGCTCCAATACTGGGGCTTGACAAAAAAAAAAAAAAAAAAGCATCAATCCTGGAAAGTTTACAGCCTTATTTCTAAATAAAAATCACTTACCATAGCCTAAACACCCAACAACTAAAGACTGAGTAAACAGTGATGCACCAAACAAATATATCTTAATCATTGTGCTTCTTTTAAGTGAAAATAATGAAAAGACAAAAACAGAATGAGAAAATTTCCTATACTAACCATAAAAGGGAGGAAAAAAGTATTTACTATGTGAGTTACAAACATGAAGAAAATCCATAAGTATTTGGACACAACACACAATTTGGTGTATGGTGTATTAGGGACTGAAAGAATGCCTCTAAATGGGCATAAGGTCCACTTTCTGTGGCATAACTAAAACTTATTTTAAAAACTGGATTGACTATGAATTAGGCATTTTACCAGGACAGAGTCTGGAGCATCCTTCAGACAAGCAGGGAAGGGAAAGCTCATGTGCCTGCCTCCCAGAGGCGGGCACCGTTCCACCTCATTTGCCAGATGGATGCAGGATGTATTCCTAACATCCTGTTGTGAGCAAGCTGAGTAAATGTGCCAAGAGGGCTGCTTTGCCTGGCAGATTCCTGTTTACTCTGGGGTGCACTTCCTCAGTCCCTGACACAAGATCACTGACCGTGTAGTGAACTGGACAGCTCAGGTGTTATGTATTCATTTGAGATCAGGTCAGCCAGTTTTCAGGATTTCTCCCTCCCTCCCTCCTTCCCTCTCGCCCTCCCTCCCTCCCTCCTTCCTTCCCTCCCTCCCTCCCTTCCTTCCTTCCTTTCTTCCTTTCTTTTTGTTGGTGGTGGTGGTGATGATGGTCATGGGGCTTGAACTCAGGGCTCAGGCACTGTCCCTGAACTCTTTTGACCAAGGCTAGCGCTCTACCACTTTGAGCCAAAGATTCACTTCCCGTTTTCCAGTGGTTAATTGGAGATGAGTCTCACAGACTTTTCTGCCCAGGCTTGGTTTTGAACCATGATTTTCAGATCTTAGCCTCTGAGTAGCTAGGATTACCCGTGTGAGCCAGTGGTGCCTGGCTAGTTCATAGCAAAAAATTCCCTTTCTTCCCCCCTCCTCTGCAGTACTGGGGCTTGAACTCAGGGCCTGGACTGTCCTTTGTGCTCAAGATTAGTGCTCTAATAAGCCACATCTCCACTTCCAGCTTTTTTGTTGGTTAATTGGAAATAGGAGTCTCATAAAAGTCCCCTATCTTCAAACCATAATCCTAGCTCGAACCTGAACCTCTGGTACCTGGCTGCAGAAATTATTCTTCAGATGATATAAAAACCCTTTCTTAGCTCAAAGTAAGTCTTCCCCTTCATCAAATTTGACTTCCCTCTGATGTCACTCCCTTTTGTGTCCTTATATACCTGTGTCTCTAATGAAGCTTGCTAGATCTCTCACTTTTTGTGTATGGGCTATGTGAAAACTGGCTTCAAATCTCTTGGCAATGTAATCTGAAGTCAGAGCATTACCTTCAGCACTATGGCAGTCTACCTCAGCCCCTCTGCCACTGTCCTCAGTAGGCCACTGCATAGGCTGATACCCTTGACTCTCCAGGGCAAAGGAGAGGCTCAGAGCATCTAGGACCTCCTGCCATTAGTTGCCACTTTGCTTTCCTAATCCTATATCCCATGCTTAGTTCCATGCAAATATCTGTGGACCCATCATTTCTTGTATTGTCCTGAGGGTCAAGCAGGCTTGCCTTGAATGCTCCTCAGATCATTCCTCCAAGCTGAATTGGTGAAAAAACTTTTTCCCTTTCTGGATACTAAATGACAAGGGTGTGAAGCTATACTACACATGGAGTAGGAATTGGGACACTAAATTAGACTTCTCTGTCTCTGACTTGTTTGACAAAAGAACATATTGTTGGTGACATGGGGGTGGCATTTAAAAAAGGAGCTTGCTTCTAGCATTCATGATCATTAAAACAGAAAAGAATCTTATCTATGGAAATAGTTTTGTTTCTGTTTATACCGGAATGAAATACCATTTGTGCAGAGAGCAGGAGAGAAGAGAGAAGGCGAGGCCTGACATTAACAAGGGAGGAGGCGGACAATGCTTGCACTGGCAGTTGTTGTAGTTTCTGTTTTCTTTATATCCTTTATTCTCAAATTGCAACCTCATCTTCATCTAGCTCCTTTAAAATGTGATGTTTCTGTGAATTCTCTTTGTATGTCTTCACCAAGACCTTAAAGCTTTCTTCCTTCATAGGAACAGAGTGTTACGTTAGGGACAGGCAGAGAGTTATGCTTTTGAGTTTTTGAGAAGTATAGTACATGCTCATAAGAGTTATTTCCTAGCAGGGCATAATCACAAACTGGGGTTTCATATTCTAGAAATGAAAACATAAAATTAACTGTCTTCTGATAATATGTACACTCTAAAATATCTTAATTTATTCTATTGAAGTTTCTATCAAGAAGATATAGGGCTTGGGTCTGGTTTTTGAAAAAGTTTAGGAGACTTTGTACTGGCTTTTTAAAAAATTTGTCAATGTATAAAATAATATTCCTTTGTATTTAGTGTACTGGTTATGCAAAACTTCAGTGATTTTTCAATAATGTTGTAAAGTATCCAGTATGTCTTTATTACAATTAACTTTAATTTACCTTGTTCCAAAGAGTAATAGAAAGGAATTTTTGTCCATAATATACACAGACAAGCTATCAAAGGGATTATAGCCTTTTATAAACCTTTTGTGTGTATAAACAGCAGTGTTTGCATTAAAAAGCCATTTTTCAAAATTTATTACAACCTTTTAGAAGCAATTCTTTGGGCATCAGATCTTTAAGTGCATTTGAGAAATAAAATTGAGTTATCTAGGCTTAGGAATGATCTCTTTAAAATGCATATTGTTCTTCAATATATGTGAACAAATTGTACAAAGCACAATCCACTTATGTAGGATTTTTGCCTGTTCAGATCTAAGTGGGAATCAGTAGTTTCTTTGTTGGTCACTATGGAAACGCGTCAGCCTATCCTGAATAGCTCTTAGATCATACAGAGCGATGCCTGTGTCTCAGTGTACTTCCTCACCAAGCAAGCCAGGGCTGACTTCTCCTGCCTCCAACTCTTGCTTCCCTGGAGCCAGTACCATGCAGGTGCAGGATGTGTCTCGGCGGCCCTCGGCTGTCCACTTCCTCAGCTCCTTTCTGCAGGGTCGCCGGCACTCCACTTCGGACCCAGTCTTGAGGCTCCAGCAGGCCCGGCGTGGCTCCGGTTCTGCCACAAAACTGCTGTCCTCATCCTCTCTTCAGGTGATGGTAGCTGTGTCTTCTGTCAGCCGTGCAGAGAGGAATACAACTTTCCTTGAGAGAAAAAGTAAAGCTCCTTTTCTTCTTATAAATTGTCATACCTTTGTGTCTAAACTTAAAAAAGTATCAGTAGTCTATGTTGTGTTTATACCTTTTTAAATATTGACAATTTTATGTTATACTTTTTAGTGTTATGCTAAAAATTTAGATAGGTGAGAAATATGAAATGATTGTTTCTGTGGGTTTTTTAAAAAAATATTTAAAATGTTGTTTTTGAACAAAACTCTTCCCCTTGAAAAAGATTTGCTTTAAAAGTTCTCTTTTATTATCAGTATAGTGTGTGGAGATTATTATATGTGAAAGCTTTTTGCCTTTAGATGAAGAGCATTTCACATTGATGCTGATCATCTATAATCCTGAGATAAATGGAGCTGTTTCCTTTGTGAGCATCCCTTTGGGAGACTGGTAGATTGTGAATCCTCCCTTCCTTGTGTGGTCTGTAGGAAATTCTGGACGTCCAACACCAAAGTACACCAAAGTAGGAGAGCGTTTGCGGCATGTCATCCCTGGACACATGGCATGTTCCATGGCTTGTGGTGGTAGAGCCTGCAAGTATGAGAACCCAGCCCGCTGGAGTGAACAGGAGCAAGCCATTAAGGGGGTTTACTCATCTTGGTAAGTGGTCCTGTCATTCTTGCATAGCTATAAGGTAAAAGAAGGAGCTGTATGTATTAGCTACAGAGAGAGGATGTAGAAATGGCAGTATGAGCTTTCAAGTCCAGGAACTGATGCCATCCCTAGCTTCACTCTAGACCAGCTATGGGATGCTGGCCTACCCAGCCTTAGTTTCTCATCTAGAGAATAGAATTAATCAAGCCAAAACCATATGTGTGTTTTCAAATCAAGTGAAATGAAGTATATACAGTACCTTGAAGAAATGGGTGATTAGATAGCCCCCATATTCCAGAAAGAATAGAAATGCTCAGCTCTAAGTCTGAGAAAATTATGAGTCACACATTTAGTTCTTCAGTTTGATCCAGGTAAGCTTTCAAATCACTTTTAAGTTGTTCTTATATTCTGTATGAAAGGACATATTGTCATATAAATACACTCAGTCTGTCTTAATTTGAAGTGTAGCAGGCTGTCAGTTCAGTAGACAACCTAAGATGTTTTCATTGTTTCTGGCATGTAAGTATAATTAGTATCATTTTTGAATCATGCTGCCTTTTATTCATTACAATAAGCTAGTCAGATATACCTTCATTGATATAGTGACATCTGAAAAATACTAATCAGATCAAATCATGTTTAAATCACACTTTAGAAGGATATTCCAGTAATGAATTATTTTATACAGTAAGAACCCATTTTAAAATTAGGTATTTGTTGACTTAAACAGCTTCTCAAACTTGCAACCTGTACTTTTTCAGGTTGGATTTGCTGTGTACCTCTGTAGTTACATGGTTTAGGATCCATTGTCATTGTCACTCTCCATAAATTATTTTCAGAACTATTACTGTCATACTGTTGGCACCAAAAAGCACACATTCCAGAGGTTTAGGCAAACAAATTTCTAACAATGTAGCTTCAGTATTAATACTTTTGCTTTACTGTTGAATAAACTATGCGAGCCATTTCCACCTCCACTGCTTTTATATTGCATCTTTCCACATCTTATGCTAAGTACTTATGAATTTGTGGGATCTTAGATCTTTGGGTCTATTGTAAAGGTTACACATCATTCTAGAGTTTAGAATCTTTTGCATCTTACTCTGCTAATCTAATATCTTTGTTACTCCTCTGAGATTCCTGTAACTCACACCAGGCCCCGATGAGACATTTTAACAGAACATATTACAGCTAGAGCCTAACAAGAAACATAGGGCTTTATTTGGCCTGTCCATCCATCCATCCATCTTCAAATCTCTATTTGCCTATAATCAAGGCACTATGCTAGATGCTTTCAAATTATAATCATTCACTCATTTTCATAAAACTCTTGTGAGTTGTTAGTGCCATTTTACTGATGTTTCAAGAGATTAATTAGTTTGCTTCACAGCTAGCAAGTAGAAAAGTCAACGTTTGAAGCCAGCTGACTCAGAAGCCCATAGATTTTTCTAAATTACAGTAACTCAGTATTTATTCATGACTGCAGCCAGGATTTATGCTGAATACTTTATATCTGTATCATATTGAATTCTCACTCTGGCTATATAAAGCAGGCATTAGTATCCCCCTTTGTAACCTTGGTTGAGTAATCATAAGTGCCTCCCAGTTGGCTTTCTAGTCACCAACCACTGGGCAACTCATGAACACTTACTACCTTTGCCACTGGCTGAGTTTTCTCCATCGTGTCTACAAGAATCTCTGGAGAGGGCTGGGAAGGTGGCTCAGTGGTAAAGTGCTTGCCTCGCATGCATGAGGCCCTGGGTTCAATTCCTCAGCACCACATAAACAGAAAAAGCTGGAAGTAGTACTGTAGCTCAGGTGGTAGAGCACTAGCTGAGGGACAATGCCCAGGCCCACGACCGACAAAAAAAAAAAAAAAAAGAATCTCTGGAGTACTTTGAGACATTCTGTCAGAGTTCATAAATGCTTTATGCCCTAGATTTTTTTCCAGGAGGTTTAAGAAGCTAAAGGCTTCTCAGTACATTAATGATAGCATAAAATTGAAACCAGGTTTGTACAAAATATTCTTACAGAGTTATTGAAATCATAGAAAAAATCATACTTTCAGGTGGAACTTTCTGGGTTCTGTGTATCTCACTAGCCTTCCTTTGATCATCAGGGTCACTGACAATATCCTGGCCATGGCTCGCCCATCCTCCGAGCTCCTCGAGAAGTACCATATCATCGAGCAGTTCCTCAGGTAAGTGCCCTTTTTTCACAGCTGTTGTGAGCAAAGCTGTGGTTTCGATTCTCTGCTTGTGCCATCAAGTGAAAAAGGGCTTTCCTTTTAAAAATAGGCAGGGACATGATTATTTTAAATAAAGATTTGAGAAAAATTAATGTTTAGTAATGCCAAAAATGATTAATTTTTTTAACTCCAGCTCTCAGTGACTAATTGCCCCTTTTTCTTTAAGTCATGGCATAAAAACAATAATCAACCTGCAGCGCCCTGGTGAGCACGCTAGCTGTGGGAATTCTCTGGAACAAGAAAGTGGCTTCACCTACCTTCCCGAAGCATTCATGGAGGCTGGCAGTAAGTTCTTTCCCACCCTCCTCAACATGAGCTATCAAGGATAGTGCTGAGAGACTTTTGCCTGCTAGATTCTCAGGTTGAAAACATGGTGGAAATAATGACTGCACAGCAGCATGACCTTTAGATAATGAGAATGGGCTTTGACCTTCAATGATGCTACCATTCTTTGGTGTTGTTGTTGGGGTATGGGGTTTCTTTTTGCCTGTGAGAGGGATATTGTTAAAAAAAAAAAACCAACCCTGAAGACTAAAGCTCCCATTAAATTAATGCCTGCACTATGTGAAACACTATTACTTCATTTCATCCTTACAGTGGTAGTGTAGCAGAGTTGTTACTTTTGTTTCATACTTGAGGCCACAGAGACTTAAAAGTGACTGAGATCACGCTGATTAGCAGTGGAGGAGCAAGTTGGAAGCTCCTCAGTCTCCTTCTTTTCTTACATGTTCTTAGAAGGATGCTGGGCTTCCTTCTACCAGTAGAATGTGGCACTTCCACAGATGCTGCAGTCTTGGGAGCTTTGGGAAGGACTTCACTCCATACTGCAATTCAAACCAGGATGAACAGGTTAAATGTTTAACTTAAAAAAAAAACCTAGGTAGACCATCTACCTTTAACTATTAATTAGTATTTTAGACACATTTTCCATGCTTTAACAACAGCATATGTTTTATTTACCTCTATAGCTAAGTAACTTTACCAGGGATGATTGACAGTTTTAATTCATAATTTGACTTTGTATATGTGTATATGTGTGTGTATGCTGGTCGTGGGGCTTGAACTCAGGGCCTGAGCCGTCCTAAGCTTCTTTTGCTCAAAGCTAGCATTCTACCACTTGAGCTGTAGGTCCACTTTCAGCTTTTTTGATAGTTTATTGGACATATGAGTCTCACAGACTTTCCTGCCCACAGCTGGCTTCCAACCATGATCCTCAGATCTCAGCCTCCTAGGTAAGATTACACGCGTGAGCCACCAGTGCCAGACTCATAATTCTACTTTTTTATTACTCTGTCTAGCTGAGTTTCAGCAGGAACTATCTTAAGTAATATAGAAGTGTTTAACAATTAAACTAAAGGAAGTATAAAACGCCTATTATTTTAGGCTTGTTTATGTTGTGAAATCCAGGTGCCTTTTAACTGTATATACTCTTTATAAATTCATTCATTTTTTTCCCAAATGTCTTTGCAAGTATTTTTCTGAAATTCAATTTTTTTCTGTCTTTCACTGCCTAGTTTATTTCTACAATTTCGGGTGGAAGGATTATGGTGTGGCTTCTCTCACTGCTATCTTAGATATGGTGAAGGTGATGACATTTGCCTTACAGGAAGGAAAAGTAGCCATCCATTGTCACGCAGGGCTTGGCCGAACAGGTAAATTCTAGGGTGATTTCAATGTCTTGTATGAATATTGAAACATGCACTGAATAAAATGTACTAATTCTAAGGATAAATGGTTTTTGGAATCCTATTATAGTTTTAGAGTCAAATTAAAACTAAGTAAAAGATGTTTGAAGTATCTAAAGCTGACAATTACATTCATCATATGTTGATGGGAGTATTTTTTGAATGACTTAGAACTGAAAAGCCAATTCATTTAAAGGAATCTCTAAAATTACTTTGTACCACTCTGTTTTCTTTTCTTTTCTTTTTCCAGTCATGGGGCTTGAGTTCAGGGACTAGGTGCAGTCCCTAAACTTTTTTGCTCAAGGTTAGTGCTCTACCACTTTGAGCCACAGTGTCACTTCTGGTTTTTTGGTGGTTCATTGGAGATAAGAGTCCCACAAACTTTCTTGCCCATTTTGGCTTTGAACCACAATCCTCAGACCTCAGCCTCCTGAGTAGCTAGTATTACAGGCGTGAGCCATCAGTAACCAGCTTCTCTTTTCTTATGTAAAGGAAAAAATACTTAATTTTAATACAATATATATTTGGTCATGAGGCTTGAACTCTGGGCCTGGGTGCTGTCCCTGATCTGTTCATATTAAGATGAGCACTCTACCATTTGAGCCACAGAAAAGACAATTATGTATTGCTGGGCACTGGTGGCTCACGCCTATAATCCTAGCTAGTGAGGAGGCTGAGATCTGAGGATCACGGTTCAGAGCCAGCCCAGGCAGGAACATCTGTGAGACTCTTATCTCCAATTAACCACCAGAAAACTGGAAGTGGTGCTGTGGCTCAAGTGGTAGCGGGCTTGCTTTGAACTGAAGAGCTCAGAGACAGTACCCAGGCCCAAAGTTCAAGTCCCATGACTACCCTCCCCTCCCCCCAAAAAATGTAATTCTTAGGTCTGGGTACAGTGGCTCAAGCCTATAATCCTAGCTACTTGGGAGGTAGAAATGGAGGATTATGGTTGGAGGCCAACCCAGTGATAGAAGTGATAAAAGTTCAACCAGTGGTTTGGCATGACAGTACATACCTGCCATCACAAACTACAGTAAATCACAATGGCTAGCCATTGTGTTGTATGCCTGTCATTGTAGTTACAAAGGAAAGCACAGATAGGAAGACTGCAGTCCAGATCAGCCCAGGCATAAAGCAGGATCACAGGTTGAAAACAGCCAGTTTGGAAAGAAACTGACAGAGTGGATCAAATGGTAGAGCACCTGTTTAGCAAGCATAAGGCCCTGAGTTTGAACTTTAGCACCACCAAGAAGACAAAAATAAAAACTAATGTAATTTTTCTTAACTAAAATAACAAAATAATAAATATTGTTTAATCTGTGAGGTTCTAAGCATTTTACATTTGCTGTCTTTAAAAATGTTTAGCTATGGGGCTAGGAAGGTGGCTCAGTGGTAGAGTGCTTGCCTTGCATATATGAGGCCCTGGGTTCGATTCCTCAACACCACATAAGCAGAAAAAGCTGGAAGTGGCGCTGTGGCTCAAGTGGTAGAGTACTAGCCTTGAACTGAAGAGCTAAGGGGTAGCACCCAGGCTCAGAGTTCAGGCCCTACAACCAGCAAAAAAAAAAAAAGAAAAAGTTTAGCAACAATGCAAGTAGAAAAAACTGCAGTTTGGGAGAAGTTAAAACATATATTCCATGTACTAAGTTGCAGGGCCAAGATTTACATCTATGGCTGACTGGATCCAAAGTTGATGTACACAAAATTCTGTGTAAAAATCAATGGTTTCTTTAAATATGCTTCTGGTCTGAGAACAGAAGCAAAGCCCACCTGCAATGCAGCTCCAATCTCTGGGGTTTTCCTACCTGCCTAAGAACATCCTTAGGTCTGGGATGTAAGTCAGCTAGAGGTTGTTAGCTCTTCAGGACAAGCCAAAATGTCATTATACCTAGACATTGCTATCAAGAGAACTGCAGATATTCTATGTTTACACCAAAGATCTGCTATGTCCCAGTGAGAAATACATCCTAGTACAAACTAGAAAGCATACAGTTCTCAAAGGTTTTAATATCTATAAATAAGAAAACCTTCACAAACTTGTGAATTATATAGATACCTTGAATTTGCCTTTTATTTTAATATTAGTTGTCCATTATATTTGAAGCAATTATTACTTTTATTAGTTATCTTAATTAAAGGTTTATTAATAAGAGTCCATAATATTTATACTGATCAGCCTGGGGTTTTTTTAAATATTATATGCCTATAAGAAAACAGAGTTCTAGGAAGTGGCGCTGTAGCTCAAGTGGTAGAGCGCTTGCCTTGAGCTGAAGAGCTGAGGGACAGCGCCCAGGCCTAGAGTTCAAGCCCCATGACCGACAAAATAAAGAAAAGAAAACAGAGTTCTATCATGATCTGGAGAAAAAAAAAACCCACAGATCAGTATAAAATACATAGTCTAGAAGAAGAATTGTCAGGAAGAAAACTAGGCTGTGAGTATAAATAATCCCAAAGGAAAAACTTTCCAAGTAGGATAAGTGCCCAGTTGGAGTGGATAGTGGTTGATTCCAAATGACAGGGTGGGCATTCCAAGCACAAAGTAGATAGATTGGTAGGAATTTTCAAGAGCTGTTCAGAGTAGAAAACAGAGGCATGATTCAGTGTTCTTCTGTACTGGACCTGGAAGGAGGAGGCTACATAGACTAGATCCTCAGCTCACCCTGTGGTGCCTTCCCTGCTCCCCAGGTCTATGCTAACTTAACATAACTTTTTGCAATAAGTGGGGGGAGGAGGGCACAATAAAAAAATGCCTGCATAAAAAGTTACAAAGGTTTTCATTACGATTGCCTTTCAAATGTGCTTATGTTTATATAGTTCCTTATATATTCAGGTTTTTAAATCATCAAAGACTGATGATAAAGAAATTAAATGAAACTATAAGCCTTTCTCATTAGCAATCTTCTCTTCTTCACCTTTCAGGTGTCTTAATAGCATGTTATTTAGTCTTTGCAACAAGAATGACTGCCGATCAAGCAATTATATTTGTACGGGCAAAGCGACCCAATTCCATACAAACCAGAGGGCAGCTGCTCTGTGTTCGGGAATTTACTCAGTTTCTGGCTCCTCTCCGCAATATCTTCTCTTGTTGTGATCCCAAAGCACATGCTGTCACCTTAGCCCAGTACTTGATTCGCCAGCGTCATCTGCTTCATGGCTATGAAGCACGACTTCTGAAGCACGTGCCCAAAATCATCCACCTAGTGTGCAAATTATTGCTTGACTTGGCTGAGAACAGGCCAGTGGTGATGAAGGACACATCAGAAGGACCGGAACTCTCAGCTGAAATCGAAAAGACTGTGTCTGAGATGGTCACCATGAGGCTGGATAAAGAGTTACTGAGACACAACAGTGATGCATCTGATCCATTCAACCCCACCACAGTGGCAGCAGAGTTCGAGAATCAGGATGTGATTCTTTCCAATGAGCAAGAGTTCGACCCCCTTTGGAAAAGGCGGAATATTGAGTGCCTTCAGCCCCTGTCTCATCTGAAAAGACGGCTCAGCTACAGCGACTCAGACCTAAAGAGGGCTGAGGCCCTCCTGGAGCAAGGGGAGACTCCATGGACAGTGCCTGCCCAGGACCTGCTGGCCCACAGCCTCCCACAACAGAAGCCCATAGACCATTGTTACATCCCACCATCTCCAGAGCTAGGTTTAAATAAGGAAGCCTTGGTTCGCAGTACATTTTCTTTCTGGAATCAGTCAAAGTGTGGAGGCTTAGAAGGCTTCAAGGATGATGGCTCACAACTTTTCCATAGGAAGGACACTGCAAAGGAAGTACAGCGGAGTAGAACCTTCTCTGTGGGTGTATCATGTTCTCATAACCCTGGGGAACCAATAACACTCAACTTTGAAAACATCCCTAAGGATCTAGTGGCTCACTGTCAGTGTGAACCTGGCAGTGGTTGGGACCTAGGCTCTGTTAAGGAGGAGGACAGGACTCCTTCCAGCCCTCCAGACTGTGGTTCCAGTCCCAAGGGACTGTTCCCATTTGGACATGAAACCCAGAACAAGTGTCTGTCTCAAGTGCCATACACTGCCTTGCAACCTGAATTGAGTGTCGAGGCAAGGAGAATCCTGGCAGCCAAAGCCCTGGCAAATTTAAATGAGTTTGTAGAAAAAGAAGAAGTGAAAAGGAAAATAGAAATGTGGCAGGTATTTAAATTTCATTTAATTAGGTAATGGGGGGGGTCAGCAAAAATGTAACACATCTTTCTAAACTTTGTCATAGAAACATGAAGATATGTTTGCATCATCATACATAACTTTCACATTTCAAGTTTCTCACCGATGATGTGAGCCTGATGTTGTAAAAATGACACAGGGTGATTATATAGTTTTATTTAAATGTCTATGTGCAAGCATGCTGCTTGATCCATAATTAATGTTGTGCGATGGCATTAATGTTGGTAATTTCCATCTTTGCTTCTGGGTTTGTGGGGGCAACCACAAACTGTCCTGAAGTAACCCCAGGCCTGGCACAAGGACATTCAGAGACATAAATCAAATGAAATGATTTCCCAAAGCTTTTTGGCACAAATATTGAGTCAGGCCTGGCTTCTCAGTCTCCTCTCCTGCAGACTTGCTGACCCCATACAAAAACAAATGGGAATGAGCTTAGGGTTCCATGGTGCCACTAGCTTTATCTGAAAAGAAGAGTCTGCAGTCCATTTCTTGGCTTTTACTTAAACTCATTTGTATGTTATACTTTCACTGGGAAGACAGGTCTAAAGTCAGCCACTCTCTTTCCCTAAGTAAACCACATATTCTACAGAAAAGACAGACCTTCTGACCTCATTAGCAGAAACAGGTTAACTGCCCCACCATGAGGTTGAATAGAGCATCCTGGCTCAGTGAAATCTTAATTTGTCAGCCCTTCATCTACTATGAATTACCTTAAAAGCTACTCTTCCATATTCCACTAGGTATGTTAAATTTCTTCAGCCGAAGAAACACGAAAAATAATTTGGAGCTTCATACTAACTTCCTGTTCTGTATTAAAAAGAGAAACTTTTGATAGAAGTTCATCTGAATTATTTTGACTAACAAAAACATATGTTTCCTAAAATAATTGTTTTCTTTACCTTGTATTCTCCACTGAAAAGTCTTCCATTCAGCCAGCATATATTTCCTGTGTATTATTATGTGTTAAAAGAGTTAGCAAATGGCCTGGTGTGGTGGCTTATGCCTGTAATCCCAGCTATACAGGAGGCAGATCAAGACATCTCTGAGAAAGAACTAAAGTGAAAAGGACTAAGGGCATAACTACAGTGTTTAGGAAGTTCAACTCCATTGCCACCAAAAAGATTGGGGAAAAAAAAGTTAGCAAGCTAGAGTTCTTGTGTTTAAAATAAAGGCTAATGCAACCGCACTGTTGGTTCAACCTGTGCACCCTTAGTCAAGTGCCCACATGAGCTGCACTTGTGCTGATGAGGTACTGGTTTGGTTTAAGAAAGATTACTCTCCAACATGTACAATATTTTCTGGAAGTGAGGCACAAAGTTTTAATTGAGCTAGTTCCCCTTTACTCCTTATTTGATTGACATTTTTTTTACTTCCTAGATTTTAAAATGTATTGTCATTATAAAGATGAAATACAGAGAGATTTTTATATTTGATTTTTTTAATGTGGTACCAAGGAATTGAACTCAGGCCCTCATGCATGCTAGGCAAGCACTCTACCACTAAGCCACACTCCCAGCCCACTTCCTAGATTTTATTCTAGCCCTTTCATTAATTTTTTTGCAAGTAGAATTCTGGGGAAAAGGTAAACAAACACTATTTGAGTAGTTATTACTCCTGTGAGATACTGGGGCCTACACATGCCCACGCACATATATTACTTCCCATGATGATGCTATTTAATGATTTCTTATTCATTTTAGGATTAAGATTAATAAGTAAGGATTCATTATCTATCATGGATGAAGAAACTAAGGATCACAGATGTTAAGTGACTGGCTCAAGTCACATGGCTGGTATACAGCCAGGTCCAGCTCATGTGTTTTAACATTTTCCCTTCCTTCCCTACCCCCCAGTATCTTGTATCAGAGAGCATCATGGTACAGAAGCCAGTTCACCCCCACAGGGTTTTGAGTAATGTCAATTCTGCCCAGTTTAAGTCCTCATTAACAAGCACAAAATTGGACCAAAGGCCACTTTGCTGTATATATGACCTGTGGGATAGAAAGGAATACAGACAGCTAAAAGTAGTGGTTTATTTATAAGATGGTAGAGGTTCTCTGTGCCATGGCCAGTGCTACTGGAATAAGGCAGACGGAGTGGAAGCCCTCCTCTGCCGTTTCCTAGCTTTGAGCTTCCAGCTAAGATTTTTCTTTCTCTTAAACTAAACTGGAGGGGCCTCCCTGCAGTTACTGTAAAAGTCAGAGTCCTGTACAACAATGTCTGCCTCACCATGGGTGTGCTGCACGTATTGACTGGGTGAATAAATAAATGGTAGCAATTACAGTGTTTATTACCATTATGAAAATAGGCTTGATTAAAATCTAAAGCCATCAGGAAGTAATTAAAATTCTCCTCTCACTTCTTCCCTGCCCTGTGGGAGGTGAAGCTTTAAAATTTCACGCTTCAATTATCTCTAGGCATTTGGAGTATCTGCAAGACTTCCCAGTTCCTTTGACCTTAGCAGATTTCAGAGTGCAGAGCTTGTTATTGGGTCATTTCTAAAAGTACATTTGAAAGAAATACTTATACCACACTGACCAACTTTCAAGCACTCTTTCTTTTTTATTAAGTAGTTGAATAAAGAGGTTTCAATTCCTAAGTCAGGTTATAAGTACAATACATCTTGACCAATGTTACTTCTTTCATTGTTCTTCCCCAATTTTTTCTTTTTGTGTGCTTTGAAGTTTTAGTCTAAAGTTACCCTGAGATCCCAGGTTAACTTAAATGTTCCCTTATTCTTACTTTTCCATCTACCATTCTACTTCTTTTTGCCAGGAGCCTATGAAGGAAGACTCACTGTTCTTGAGCCATTTCTGTGGTTTCTGAGCAGAGTACAGGGCTTCCTTCCGAGCAGCCCTACTCTCAGTAGCCAGCCAACACTATGTGAAGCAGGCATGAGCTTCAACAAGGGAGACTGAGTTGGCCCATGCCCCCAGTAGGAACTGGGGATTCCTTAGTCATACCTCAGGACTTGAACCCTTCTCTTATGGACAACCCCCAGTCATACCTCAGGACTTGAACACTCGCTCTTAGGGACAGCCAGGGTGAGTCTATACCACTCTCTCTTTTCCCTGTTTTCATTTCTCTCTCCCATTTTCTTCCTGTTTAGAAAGAACTGAATTCCCGTGATGGAGCTTGGGAAAAAATACGTGGTGAGAGAGACCCTTTCATCCTGTGTGGTTTGATGTGGTCTTGGGTGGAGCAGCTGAAAGAGCCTGTAATAACCAAAAAGGATGTGGACATGTTGGTTGATAGACAAGCGGATGCTGCTGAAGCCCTGTTCTTACTAGAGAAGGTAAAGGTGCTGCTGGGCACTATAATTCAGTTAATGGGTTTAATCTTAGTACAAGTTTTACACACTTAAAAAATAATTACTGGGGCACACGAATGGAGGAAGGAATGATGAGCAAAAGCAGTCATTATATCCAATGTACATTTTATAAAAATTGAACTACATAATCTGAGGATAGGGATGAGGGGGGAAAGATGGAGGACAACAATGGAAGGGATGGCATTGATCAAGAAGCATTGTACTCATATCTTGACTTAGAGAATCAAAACCTCTTTGTACAGCTACTTAATAATTTTTAAAAATCATTACAAAAGGAGAATTCATAAAGAATCTCATACCTAAGTCTAATTTAATAGTTTTTCCAAAAGAGAAAAAACTGAGGAAGATAGGGATGTAGCTTAACGGTGGGATACTTGTCTGTTGTATATGGAGCTGTGTAGTTTGATCCCCAGTATCGTGGGCAGTAGTGTGGGGACAGGAACTGATGCACAGCCTAAACATTTAGAATATACCAAAATAAAAAGGGGTCCCCTGGGTATGGTAGCACAATGCCAGCATTCAGTAAGCAGGAGGATCTGGAGTTCCGGGCTGCTGAGGCTAAACAGAAAGTTCAAGTCCAACAAGGGCTGATAGCCAGGTATGGTTGCTAATACCTATAAGCCTAGCTATTTGGGGAGCAGTTTGAGGGGATCAAGATTCAAGGTCAGCCTGAGCAAAAAAAAAAATTACCCCTCTCAACCAATAAAATCTGAGCATGGCACTATACACTTGTCATCCCACTATGCAGGAAATATAAATAGGGATCTGTGGTCTCGGCCAACCAGACCATAAATGTGAGACTGTATTTGAAAAATAAATAAAAAAGGGCTGGGGGGAATGTCTCACATGGCAGAACATCTGCCTAGCACATGCAAGACCATGCAATAGCACCTAAATCAATTAACTAATTAATAACCAAGAGCTGGGGAAGTTACTCAATGGTAGAGCACTTGCCTAGCATGAGAGAAATCCTGGGTATTGTTAGGTTTTTAAAAAGAGGTAGCCAAGTTAAGAACAGCAGCACGCACGTGGTATTCAGGTAAGGAGTAGGCTTATTCAGTAGACCTGCTGGGACCAGGCAAGGTTGGCACTCCACGTGGCTGGGAAAGGCCTGGGAAAGAGAGAGAGCTGGGAAAGAGAGGAAAGAGCTAGAGCAGAGAGAAAGCAGAGAGAGCTAGAAAAGAGCAGCCAGACAGTGTCTGGGCCTGAGCTAGGCCTTATGTAGGGTATGGGTGGAGAAAGGTGTGGCCACATCAAATTCAGATGGGACCTCAGCGGATGCAGAGGTGACCTCTTCCAGGTGTCCCAGTTGCCTAGGTAACGCAGGTACTGGGTGGAGACTTTGCTGCAAGGAGGGTGGAGTCTGCTCTCCATCCAGGAGCGGACCTTACAGGTATAACTCTGAATACCTCAAAAAAAAGTCCAAACCCTAGGAGTATCACATTAGACATTTAAAAATCTTTGCTTTTGCCCTTATCAATACATAGTTTTAACTTAGTCAATTTATACTTCACTTTTGCCTGAGTATAAAATTGTATTTTTCTGCAAACAGTATAAGCTTTGCATAACTATTGACTATAATAGGTGCATAGCCCTCTAACATGGAGCTATGTCACAACCACTTTTTCACTGTTGGATATTTGTTTATACATATTTACCTTGGGCAAAATTTGCGTATAAACTATGAAGTAGATTGGAATATATACTCATATTTTTAAAAAGGATTCATGTCGGGCTGGGAAGGTGGCTCAGTGGTATAGTGCTTGCCTTGCAGCACCACATAAGCAAAAAGAAAAAAGCCGGAAGTGGCACTGTGGCTCAAGTGGTAGAGCGCTAGCCTTGAGCTGAAGAGCTGAGGGACAGCACCCATGCCCAGGGTCAGGCCCCATGACCGGACCCCCCCCCAAAAAAAAAGATTCATGTCATACTCATATGCACACAAACACATATATCTTAAATATATGCAAAATAGAGAAGAAGAGTACAGAGTAAAGTAAGAAACTGGTTATGAGGATTGCCTTTAGAGGACACTATAGGACAACGGGTGTAGGAAGAGAAACATTTTCATTGTAGATATTTTTAAACATATAAAGACACTAAAATTTTAGGTTAACAGTAGGCTTTGTTTTCATTTTAGGGAACAATGCGATTGAATAATCAACCTTGAGCTACTCCTTTGCAATAGTATGTGCATCTCACTGCTACCAAGTCTTCAATAAAAACCTGTTGCTACACACACACACACACACACACACACACACACACACGGACACACACACATGAACAGACACAGTCAGCACATACCCTCCCCTAAGTTGTACACCAGTACCAAACACACCCAGGGAAGCTTGCTCAAGCACAGAAACACACCAGTTGTGCAAATACCTTTTTAAGATAAGAGTTTCTGTATCTTGAGTTCTTCTTTTAGGATATTTTCTCAGTAACTAAATTATAGAGATAAAAGAGGAGTAGGTGATAAGGGGGGGAAATTAACATTTGTTGGGCTGCTGTGGCCCTAGCACTTCAGGAAATCATTTCCATTTACACTTCTGTTCACCCTGATAGTGATTGGCAACAGAGTCTCTACACACAGGCAAAAGGAAACAGCTTGCTCTAGGCTGTGACATGGGTCACTTAAGGATTCAGACTTGATTGTAGGGCACGTGCTCTGGTTCTCTGTCACATCATGCTTCCTGTTTTACCAAATTCATTTCAACCCTATGCAGAGAGTATTTAAGGTAGCTTACATTGTTTATTTTTATAGGCACCATAATGATTATGTGTACTTAGAGGTTTTTTGTAGTCTAATTATGCACTTACAAATTTCCAGGTAAAATTGGTTGTCTTGGTGGATAACATCAAGGTGATAGAGTTCTTCCTTTGCTGAATCGAGATATTCCTTTATTCCACCATCAGCTTGGGCGATGCCTCCTTAAGTTTGAATTACTACTTGGGGGTTAGCCTATCTCTTTCGTCATCTGCGCACCTCACCCCCATAACATCTGTGATGGCTGGGCACACAGGGACCAAACATCTATTACCTACCTGATGATCAGCACAAAGACCACCATGATATGTCAGCATCTAACTAAACTGAAAGAATTATATCTAGAAACTGCAAGAAGGGGGAAAAATCTATTCAGTACACTGCAGGAGAAACATCTACACTAATCTTCGGATTCAGTTCTATTTTGTTCGATAACTAACCAATTTAGATCTTACCTCCTGAATGTTTTCCAGATTATATTAACACATAACGGTGAACCCTTGGTATAGCTTTTGGTAGCTATTTAAGTCTTTGAGATTGAACCAAATGCTCACTGTATAGTCATTTAAGTTGATTTTTTGAGACATTTTTCAAATCACCTTTGATTTCTGCCCAATTAGGGACAGCACCAGACGATCCTTTGCATTTTGCACTGCATAGTGAACCTGCAGACAATCCCTGTGGAGGTAGAGGAAGCTTGCCTTGCTCATGCCATTAAAGCCTTCACCAAGGTATGTTGAACAACAACCCCCCCTCCCACCCCGCCACAAATCACCATCACCCTTATAAATCCGGAATCAGAGGTCACCTTCCTCCTCTACAATAAAACTTGGGACTGTGTCTCCTGTAATGGAAATGTCTTTGGCATTTCTCAGAACTAATTACCGAGTTTCCACACAATGATATTAGGAAAAGCTGAACTCTGAGTTTTTCCAAGGCGAACATGGGAACAAAGAGTTTTTATAGAGGAGAAGAGAGAAACAATTGAGTGCTGAATTAAGTATTTTTAAATCACGTGCCTGGTAGGAGTTAGACAATGTTGTTTTGTCTAGCCAGTTCTACCTTGGGTTTGGACAAGAAACCATCTATTGAGGACTAAACACACAGTTCAATACTGTCTCCTGGCTGGCAAATCTTAAACATGGGTTAAAAAAAAATTCCTTTCTGTGCACAGCTTCTAGCAGTGTTTCTTAGCTGCAGAAAAAAACAAAAGAAAACAATTCATGCCCAGAGAGAATGTTCCTCTCACCCTTTGCCTAATTTTCTTGTTATATTATCATATATGATAAAAAAAATCATCACACAAAAGCCCAGCTTTTGAATGACATCTGTGATAAGCACTGATGAGAATGGCAGTTATTATTTGTACTGATTCATACACTATAGAGATTTTCCTTTTTAATATTTGTCCAGTCTTCCCTTCCACTCTGCTGGGTGACATTCATATTGCGGGCTTCCTTGATCCTCTGGCTTTGATGGCCCCGAGTGAGTGCACGTCCTTTCCATTCTATTTTCTGCTGCTTCCGGAGACAGTGATCTCAAATCTGAATCATGTGGTCCTTTACATCTGAATTTTCACAGACTAAAAGGGCTACCTACGTTCCCAAAGATGGGTGTGCTTTGGTGTCTTAGAAAGTAAATAATTTAAGCTGTTATTAATGTTTATAAGTAATATTTGCAAAGAAAAAATTAATGAAATTGCCAGATACTGGTGGCTCACGTCTGTAATCCTAACTATTCAGGAGGCTGAGATCTGAGAATCTCAGTTCAAAGCTCTCCTAGGTAGGAAATCTCCAATTAACCATCGAAAACCAGATGTAGAGCTGTGGCTCAAAGTGGTGGAACACTAGACTTGAGCACAGAAGCTCAAGGACAGTGCCTGAACCCTGAGTTCAAACCTTATGACTGACAAAATTAATGAGTTTGGGGAAAATATTTAGTACCGGTCTTAGGAAGCAGTAGAAATTCTTTACAATGTCTGTTGTCTTTAGATGTATTAGAGGAATGTAGCTCAGGGTTGATTCCTTGCTAGTACATGTGTGGCCTTGACATTGATCTCCATTGCCATAATAAAACAAAATATTGGAGACTAGCTGTTTATGGGTCTTCTATCTATGAACAGTCTGATGAACGAGGCACTGACAGCTCTGACTGCTGGGCAGAAAGCACATTTTCATGCCTTCCTATGTAATAGTGTTTACCTCCAGGGCAAATGTTGGCTTGAAGCTCCCTTATAAGACACTAGGATTTTAGGGATGGTGGTATAGCTAAGGAGTAGACTGCTTACCTAGCATACTTGAGGTCCTCTTCTCCATCCTAGCATTGAACAAAAAAAGGGGTGGTTGCCGGGCGCTGGTGGCTCACGCCTGTAATCCTAGCTACTCAGGAGACTGAGTTCTGAGGATCGAGGTTCAAAGCCAGCCCGGGCAGGAAAGACCGTGAGACTCCTATCTCCAGTAAACCACCAGAAAACCGGAAGTGGCGCTGTAGCTCAAATGGTACAGCGCTCGCCTTGAGCTGAAGAGCTGAGGGACAGCGCCCAGGCCCAGAGTTCAAGCCCCACGACCGACAAAAAAAAAAAA